GAGAACAAACTGGTACGCGAAAGAAGATGGTATAATTTTAAAAATCTTTTGATGTACTAAATATTACAATTGCTCTTAACAATAAAATCGCTACTATTTAATGCACATTTTTTCTCACTTTAGACTACTGAAAATTAGTTGTTTTTTTTTGTTTTAATGTAACTACAATATTTTTCTTCACCAAAACAGACTAAACAGATACTTAAGAGTAGGTTTTGTTAAACCATGTAATGAAGTAAAATTTAAATAACTCTTTAAAAAAAATACCGATATGTGCCCCGCTATTGTACATTCTAGTGTCTTCATACACATAAATATGCAATTTTTATTCCTTTTATATTTTTACATTTTAATATTATTAAATAAATAATCAGTATACGTTTCTATATATAGGCCTCCGTTTATTCATTTACATTCAGAATTGTATTTAAAAATATACCACGATCGAGTTTCAATGTTTATTATTTATATTAAGTATGTGATAATAAAATATCTATATGACGCGAAAAATTACAATTATGCTAATACAAAGATCTAATGCTGGCTAGATATGATTTACAGTATTAAGGTTTTATTAATAAATGTATGTAGTCATGGAACAATAATTGCAGATAAGCACATTCTCATTATACTTTACGTTAATTATACTTCTTTCTTTCTTCATTCTTCATTGTAACGTTGGAAAATATTTCCTCTAACAAAAAAAGTTAAGTAATTGTCAATGAAAGTGTCAAATTGTTTAGCACTAATTGGGATGTTGACTACAATTCCAGCCTATTGTTTTTTTTTTCTAGATTTGCTTCCATAGCCTTTGTCCAACGAAGAAAAAACTACAAGCCAGTTGTTTGATTTTGTACTTGACTCCGCTGGGTTGCTCTCGATAAGTATCGAGATCATCTGCAGAAGGACATTTAGTTTAACAACAAGAGCCATACCGACTCGACCACGCCAATCTCCGTTAATCGTACTGCATTACGGATGAGTGAACAGTATTATTATTCCAGAAATCACAAAGTATTTTTAAAGTACTTTTCAGAATACGGCTTAAATCTTTTTCGTTAATTTTTAAAACATATTTGTTGAACTATCATAACAATTAAAAAACAACAATATTACGATTGCTAGTGTAATATTTTATATTTATCATTATATATTCTTGAGTTAAATAAAATACAAACAATACTAAATCAATAAATTACTACACGAATACGACTTAATCAAAGGTGACTGGCTGTGTCCAATAGACCGGGGAAATTTTAAAGTGTCCAAAGGCCCTGATTGAAAAATGTGTATTGTGTATAGGCCTATTTTTTCACAACCAATCATTAATCTATAAACGCCTTGGTATGAAGTAATGTTTAAATTTTAAAAAACAAACAATTTTTAAAAATAATCACAATTCTGCTAGGACTATTACAAGACTGTTCATGAGGGCCTACATAGATAGATTCCTATGAGGTCTCAGGGATTTTTTCTAGTAGACTGCCGGGCCAGTTATCAATTGGAATAAGTAGAAAAAAATATTAAATGGAAACTTGTGGACAAATTAATTTCGTCATTATAAGAGTTCTAAAAATATCACTCTCTATACTATTTTAGAAAGGCCCGAGTTAAACTCGCCCGATAAAGCGGATTGACTACATACTTGATTTATAGCTTGATAACACTGTTAGAAAACAATATCAATAGAATTTTTTTTAAATACAAATATTTTTAATCTAATGAATTAGAAGTTGAGAATAATAACAGAAAGACAAAGTTTATATTTAAATAATGTGACCATAATATCTATGATCAATCATGATTTACGTCATATTTAAAACAATGTCTAAAGTTATAGTAATTTTTACTATTCTTGAGAATCATTGACACAAAATATCTTTCTATAGGTTTTTGCAAATTTCGGACTCAATCTGACATAAATGATAAAATTAACTGAGGCGTTGAGTCCATAAATTAAATTTACAAATGTTTCTACAATTCTTAGGGCATCATAAGTAAAGAGCCGGCCATAGCCAGCTTCAAGGGTGAAGGCGTATGCATTTGTTGGAATCAACACTAAACAAATTGCAGATAAACAAATTGTCAGTGAGATTTTAGCTGTTCGAACATCCTTAGTTCGTTTGGAGTGTGACTCAAATGTTGACATTCTTTTCATATTTCTGCTTGACGCTTTAAGTTTTATAATGATAGAAAACGTACATATCATTATTATCGCTGTTGTAAACAAAATTACCAATATTCCGAGTCCAGTGTTGTATAATGTAAACATGTCATAATTGTATCGTATAAATACACCGTAGTCAAGAACCGGAATTGTACTATTGATTTTATCGTAGAATATCCAAATAACTGCAATATACAAAAATGCCCGAGGAATATAAAATCCTGCTGAAATTATATAAAAACTAACCACAATACACTTGATTCTAAATGTTGTAAGTAGTTTAGATGCAGCGAAAGGAAACAGCACAGCTATCATTCTCTCTACGGCAATGACTGTAGCCATCTGTACGCTGGTGCATATGGCATACTGGTTCCATCCTAGAACATAGGCGGTGAAATGCGAGAAGATGTAGTAAAACACGGCATTGTCAATCAAGCGAGCCAAGCTCTCCAGTGGAAAATGTAGCTGTGTAAGGGAGGAGAACAGATCCGACACGGCCAAAGCGGTTAAAATAATAGTGGTTGTTTCCCTTAGGCAAGTGTAAACAAGGATTAAAATTGTGAGGCTGTTCCCCACAATTCCAGTGAAACATAAAGTTGGAAGGATGATGCCGCTGAATATAAGTTTGAAATAAAACAAGTCTGTTTTAGAAATATCAAGCACTACGTCTGCTACAATACTTTTGTTTATGTCTCCCATCTCCACGTATGTATCTCTTGCTATGTTATTTACATTAACTATTCAAGTAATTAGATCTAACATGATTGTTACACAATGACACAAAACAATTTTTTTTAAAATTACTCGTTACATTCTATGTTAGCGACAAACTAATTCGCTGTAGGATAAATAATGTATCAAGTTAATGAAGCACTCTTTTTACCATTCTTATTGTTTCTATTTTAAATTTAAGAGTTTTTAGTTAACGTATTTACAATTACAAATTATAATTATTTTAACGAAACATTACTCGTCACATTCTATGCTGGTGATAAACATGCACTAAAGAATTTTACTATAAAAATACATCAAGCTAAAGAAGCGGTTTTTTTTTTTTTTACATTTTTTTCTTATTTCTATTTTAAATTTAAGATTTTTAGTGAACGTTTTCACGTTTACTGCTTGTAAATTGACTGAATATATTACCTAAAAAGCGAAACGTTAAGCCATTTTTTTCTATTTCAAATAAATCTCAGTTTAGATAATTATAAAGGAAGCTAAATGAAGCGGGGGGTTTTCGTCCAGGGGGTTTATGTCGCGGGGGGGGGGGGGGTTTGTCCAGGAGGTTTACAGTCCTCGTGCTGTGAGTTGTGACAATCCGTTTTTTACCAGTTTATGTAATGTTATGTGAAAACGTGTTTGATTGCCTCAGTTTCGTCCAGATCTCCAAGGTTAGTATAGGTTTGGTCTGGTGTCCGGTCAAAAACCCCCTGGACATAAACCCCCTGGACAAAAACCCCCCGCGACGTAAACCCCCTGGACAAAACCCCCCCGCGACATAAACCCCCTGGACGAAAACCCCCCCGCGATATAAACCCCCCGGATAATAACCCCCGGACTGAGGTTTATATAAAGATAAAATAACGATGATGTGAACCAAGAAATTTTAAAAAATTACATTAAATTAATTATTTTTTTTACGACTAAGAAAAGAGTTTCTACCTAAAAAATGCTTTTTGAAATCAAGGAGTGACCTTAGTTGTATTTGATCAAAGATCGGGCACCGACAACACCTTAGATATAAGCCATCCACATGTGGGAGCCATGCGGATCAAAGCAACACATTCTTAACAATTCAAAAGATACAGAAAAATTCAGGACTCTGGCCTTCAACAACTATACCAAGTTGATATCGGATGTTTCCACTCAAATATTTGGATATTTATTGACTTTTATTAAAAAGGAACAATCTCTCCAAGAGGTTTATTGTACACAGATCAATTCAGGTCACTGTTTACCAAAACAGAAATATATATATATATATATATTGATAGCAGCTCTCGAATTTTAACTGTTGTAAAAAAATTTAATGAGTCCACCATTATTGAGTATTTGCGAGGCATCGCTCACAATCTGTCTTTTTAAAGTTATAATAAAAATAAAAGTTCATGTTCAAGTGAAAGTAATCTTTCTTTTCATTTGAGCTAGTTTTTTTTCGAGCTTGTTTTTACTGTGTACAATCTTTAATATCCAAACGAATAATTAACCGATGTCTTTCTAAACGAACCTAAAAATGCCTCCAGCACATTCCACACTTCCTCAACTTACTTAAGTCTTCGTAAGCCTATACCTCATAACTGGTTAAATCCCTTTGTGAAATACAAGCACAGCTGCGCATTTCTTTGATAGAAAGCTCTTGCTATTTGACGTGAGAAGAAAGTTTTCAATACAAATCAATCTGCTCACCGCTGATGTCGGTTTCTTTGAACCTGCATGTGGCTATTGGTATTGCTTTGGCTTGAATAGTTTTCTGGGGTCTAATGTCAGGTTTGTTTTAAGAAGCAACAATGGAAGGACAAAAGTGAATTGGTAAGCGTTAAATATGTTGGTGAATTTTGCCTTTTTTTCTGCGTGTTTCTAGTTTGTTGGTTGGCTAATTAATAAAAGCACTTTTGGAACTGTTTCAATCTTCTGTAGAACCAAACGGACAAACAAAAAAATAAAATAAAATAAACAAACAAACAAATAAATATCCAAACATGTAAACAAACGAGTTTTAGTAGTATATTGATATCAAATTAGGTTATTTTATTAATAATGATATACTATTTTAATATACGCTTTATACATTTTTGTCAGGCAACTATTTTTTCTTACATTTAACTTTTATAAAAAAAAAAAAGAATATTGCCTTTTTGTAATTATTAACGTAAGTAAAGCTGCCTTCTCAGACATTACTATACATAAGGTAGATGATGTAAATTCAGCCTGTTTATTTGACGTCTTCATATGAAATGATACTATTGTAAGCACTATCATACATAAAGTAAATCATGTACTTATTAGAGCTGAGGATACACTGTGATGTTCCAAGGCAATAATCCCGGAGTCCGAACTCGAAACATTGGGGTTAATATCATTTTCTCTACTCTTCAACGACACATTTAGATCACAATATATTTCTAACAAAAACATCCTTTAAAAAGTCAATATTCTACATGTAATTTAAGTATGATTATGAAACTCATTAATTCTAGTAATGCTCGATATTGATCAATGATTATATTTTACGTAGTTTGATTTCCACAAACTTGACATCTCCATTCCAAAAAATCCCTGTATTTCCAGAAACGTTCCATAATCCATTTAGATTGGAACTATGACAGCTTTTATACCACCACGCACCCTTGTATAACTGAGCACAGTTACCACTGTTTTCATCGTTATCGCTATCTATAGTGGTGAACTTCATACCATTGTGGTGACTTAAACGGTCTGTAGCGTTTCCCCTAAATGACGACAAGTTCATCTTGTATTTGGCCGCTTCGTTGTCAACTGTAAAATTGATATACTCTGCATATTGTCTTGTATTTCCAATGTCTAAATCGACCCTCAACTCAGTGTAACCCTGAAACATGTGTAGATTATGGCAAGAGATTAATTTATCTTCACCTTTATTAAACATGAGAGAACATCAACACAGTGCTCAATCACATAATTTAACATATATTTCATAGATATTTATCATTTTGGCGTATATTTTGTGAGTATAACGGAAATTTTGTATTTGTAAAAATAATGGTCCTTGAACTATCCAAATTCTACAGACACTATTTTGTAAAACATATACGTTATTATAGCTCTTGTCTGTCGCGTGCTTTAAGAAGGTGTTCACTGCTTACGAATTGCATTAAGTTTTATCACACTCGCATATATTTAAAACTTTTTTTCTCCTTTTGATTATTTCTAACGTTTTGATTATTTTGATAGTAATATTGCTGATTGGCAAATCTAGAATCTAAAACGATATAATAAAGAAATAATTAATTTACTATTAGTACCTAGTTTTCACGTTCATCTCTAGATTGTGATCTAAACGCTTAATTAGTGTATGGGAAAGGGCTATACTTTTAAACATTAATGAAAGGTAAAAGAATCATAAATACAGAAACTGTATATATATATATATGGTTCCATGACAAATGATCTCAGGACAAATGATCTCAAGGACAAATGATCTCAAGGACAAAAGATACCAGGACAAAATATATCAGGACAAATGATATCATGGACAAATGATCTCAGACAAAATATCTCAGACAAAATATCTCACAGCAAAATGTTGATAGTATGTACAATGATTTTAGTTCATTTGAACTTTTTTTTAAATTGACTGTCAATATGGTTTTGTTTACTTTCTTTACGCATCATAATTGTGAATAAAATGAATTTGTTAAACTTAATAAACCATCAAAAGATTTATTTAACTTAATCTTTGTAATGGCCTTCGATTTGAAAAAAAAAATTAAAACAAACTTTCTCCTTTAGCCTGAAAGGTATGATAAATGATAATGTATTAAACAAAGTAACGGTAGCTATACAACAATAATGTTTAGAACATGCGAAATATCTTTCAAAAATGTTAATGGGTCTCTAGGTTCGTAACGTAAAATTATTGTTTTTATTGCATGATCAACACAAACATAACGTTTACGTTTCTTTGCTGACAGTACATCGTTATGATCACACCTCTCCAATACTATGTGATCATGTATTGTGTGAACTCTTGCTTGACATGTTCTAACTCCGCGATGATCGCTGTTTGTCTTAAATAAGCATTAGTCACCTGATCACTATTGTGTGACCGACGCATAACTATTGAATTTAGCTATTAGTTGTATTGTTCATGGAGGGCGGATGTCTTTCCCTTAAGGCATGTCTCTACCATCAAAGCGGGCTGCCACCTTGATACGAAGGTGTTTCTCTATTGTTATTTCATCCTCTTTGATCTAGTTTCGTCCACCTGACATGGTTGGGTTGTCTCATGTTTGGCAAGCCCGCCTACGCGGTCTATCGAACAATTTCTTTAATCTTCTATAGTAATAATCCTAATTTTAAAATGCAATATACAATTTTTAAAGTGCAATATGATAAATTTATACGGCCAACATTTCTTACACTTATTATATAGGCCTATAAACAATATTAAACATATTAAACAAAACCATACGACAGTTAATAAAAATTGTTCAGATCAACTAAAGTCACCCAATACACTATTAAAATTTAGGTGTGAGATATTTTGTCTGAGATATTTTGTCTGAGATCAATTGTCCGTGGTATCATTTGTCCTGATATATTTTGTCCTGGTATCTTTTGTCCGTGAGATCATTTGTCCTTGAGATCATTTGTCCTGAGATCATTTGTCCTGAGATCATTTGTCCGTGAGATATTTTGTCTGAGATATTTTGTCTGAGATCATTTGTCCTGAGATCATTTGTCCTGTCACCATATATATATATATATATATATATATATATATATATATATATATATATATATATATATATATATTTTTATATATGTAACTAGTGTAATTACAAAAACAACGTAATAGTGTCTGTCAATATGGACAAGGTCAAGGCTATTATTGAACTGAATTATTAAGTAGTTATTATGAAACTGTGGTGACGTAGTTAGTGTTACTAAAAATAGAATTTGACTTGTAAAGTTGAAGATAAATGGAAAAGCTGTTAATAGAAAAGATGCAATAGATGGTATCGAAATAGAATGGTTTGACATTGTCGACAACCCCGGATGTACAACTGTGTGTGTCTGGGGTATATAAAGGGCGATCCTTTTGGGTATGAGGGAGCAAGCAGAGTTTCTTCCAGGTATATCTTCTACTGCCCCCACCCCCCGAACGAAATGGAATTTATATAGAAAATATATACATTTAACAGTGTCCGCCCCCCCCCCCCCCCGAAGAGTCTACCGCCCCCCCCCCCCCACCCGAAAATTTCAAGTGCCCCCCAGGAGAAAAAAGTCTGGAAGAAACACTGGGAGCCAGACGAAAGATGTAGAACGAGACAGATGTATGCAGAAACGTAGAGATCAAAGATGTGAGCTGAGATACAGAAGATGGAACGATCGGGCGCTGGAATGAAGAGAGATATAGAATGGACTGAATGCAGAGACAAGTGTTAGTAGATTGAGTTACGGAGTGATACAGTGTGTGGACCTGTGACTTTGGAGGTCTGTTGAGTATCACCTAATTATCGGATCTGTTATTATTCATTAAAAAATAAAGTGTTGTAATATTGAACTTGCGGGCAGAGTGTGTTTCTCTATATGAGGTGGGAGAATCGGTGCCAAATGAGCTGTCAACTGTCTAGAGGTGGGAATTCCTAAGCCACGGGCGAATACCTACACACAGGAGGTTGAACACCAATCTAACAAAGAACGTCGAACATGCTGCTGCTGCAACTTGGTCACACACACATACATATATATATATATAAATATATATATATATATATATATATATATATATATATATATATATATATATATATATATATATATATATATATATATATATATATATATATACATACATATATATATATATATATATATATATATATATATATATATATATATATATATATATATATACATATATATATATATATATATATATATATATATATATATATAGTATTAACTGACCATCCCAGTTAGCCATGAGATCCAGTCATTCCCAAGCCAGAAATCTCCTGCCGTTGATCCAAACCCATGTTTGTAGTCGTCCCATCCTCTGATGAAGTTTACATCGCCCACAACACGGCGCTAAAAATAATTTTAAAAATCAAATTGAAATGATTTAAAAAATTTGTTTTAAAAAATTTCTGGAATTCGATTATTTGTTGATCATGTAGCTGCGACTAATGGTCAAATAGTGATGCTAGCAAATACTTTAACTTAGTTCTAGCTTCTAGTTATTTTTCCTCTATGTTTGTAGTTGGTAAAAGTGGGTAACATTTTATAATATTTTTCGAATTTTTGTTTTTTAAATTGCATTACAAACGTTTCAATAACACGTTTTCATGTAATAGTGTTCTAAAAAGTAAAAAAGAAACTATTTTCTTCAAATATATAATAATATACTACTATTTATGTTACTATAAAGAAAAGCGTGGGTTTTTAGTTTATCTAATGGATACAATTACAAATATTTAGAAAGAGACCAGCGGTTTTCTTTATAGTAATTTATATAGTCGTGTATTATTATATATTTAAAGAAAGTCATTTATTTTCTATTTATCAGTACATAAAATCTTGTTATTAAACATTGTTTATGATTTTTTACGTTTTCGTATACGAAGTGTAGAGGAAGTATTGTAATCATACAAAAAATCAAAATCGAGATTTACACGAATCTCGACTGTTTACAAGTCTCTGACATGGAAAAATATAGTTTTGCCTATTTGTTCGTATGTTTGTGGGTGTATGTGTGTGTGTGTGTGTCTGTCTGTCAACACAATTATTTGAATACCGTTAAAGCTAGATTGATAAAATTTAATATATAAGAATTATACAAAATTTGTAGTTCTGTATCAACTTTTCCGATGACCGAATGTGGAACGTATTTTACTTTTAGATTTTTCAAAAGCCTATAATTTTAGTACTGGCAAACTTTGAGTAATTTCTGTATAACGAAAGTAGTAATTTACGCTGTTTCGATTTCTCAAAAAAAAAACGCATATAAATTTACCAAGTACTAAGAATGTTTAGCTCTATTATACATATATTGTTTGCCGTTCAAGTTAATTAGGCATCCAATGAATTCATATTTAATGTCATATTGCATTGCTTTCAAGTCTTGACCCACTTGCCAACTCTAAAACGAATCTGTATGTTAGAAATCGTAAAGTTTCACTCGCCCATTTCGATCTATGACGACAAACTGACGACAGACGTACTGTCGATAGAGGAAGTAAAACAAAATTAAAGCTTGTAAAAATGTACCTATATGAATATTTGTGCATAATATAACCACCTTTATTTTTATAGTAATACCTGTATTAAAATCCAGCCGCCATCGTCCGTTTTCGTGTCACAGAATGTTAACTTTGATTGGTTTAGCTGAACAAGCTGTCTACTTGTTAACTTGAAGTTATGTGTTCTTTTACACTAAAATTTGAAAAATAGTGCATGTTATTTTACTAAACTATTAGAAACATATTGACAACTGTCCAATATTTCTTATTTCTGTAAGTAAGACAAAACCACACAGATATCTACTGCATTGTTTACTTTTGTAGACTTCGATTTGAATGGTTATTTACTAAAAGACTTGTCAAGTATAAAACAATCAAAAACCGTCAACGTTTGTGTAATAAAAAGAACACCGTAAAACAAAGACCAAAACAGAAGTATACCAATTATGCCATGTTTTTAGACGGGCTATTAGCTGCATAAAATTATATTCTACTTATTAGGAGCAAACGGTGTAATAACCATGTTGTGATTATATTTTCATTTTGAATTTTGTGTTCCTTAGCTCGTAAATAAAATCTAAATTAACTAGCAATTACAATAAGACTTTAACACGACATATTATGAAAGAAACTAAACTAGTAGTCTATTAATTAATTACAAAATGCTAATGTTGCTTTAAAAATGTCGGTAACATGTCAATATTATGCATTAATCAATCAACGTTTATAAACAAATAATACCATTTCTTTGGTCCAGATTAGCGAATTGGTGTTTTGTTCCTTTTCCGTATTTTGTTCAGTCATGTTTAAACGTTTATCTTTTAAATTATTGAACCTCTCATTTACAAACTGTAACTGTGCTGTCAGGTTGTTTAATCTTGTTTCAAAAATCTGTAGACTATTAGAAGATTCTATTTGTTTATGAGTGTCAGTAAAGTTTTTCCTTGGAAAACCGCTGTCATCTCTACTTAAATGTGACATCTGTAATGACATTGACATGTCAGCTCCCTTAAGTTTATCTGGATCTTCAAAGGCTTTCAGAAAAGCGGCCATAGTGTCCACAGTTTTAACATAGTTTACAGTTTTAGCTTTTAAACTCATCATCAAATCTGATTTCCGCATGTTCTCTTTTTGTAATGGTGCAGTCTCTTCTTCTGCGAACCCAATCTGTCCTTTCTTATACGTGAAGTATATTTCACATTTCAAAGTTTTATCATGGCAAGCGGAATCATTGGACAAAAACAACTGCAGCTCCCCGCCATGATGGGATATATTCCCGTCCACAAAAACCCCAGGCACTTTGTAATCTCGAGCCTTTGAATCTGATCCTGAAACAGACGCCAACATTAGCTTGTCCCCTGGTTCGTTGATCACATAGACTGACATGTTGACCAGAGCTGATATCTGAGTGTCTTCTCTTATGTTTTCTGTACACTGGAGTTGTGCACAAAACAGTTCCCTCCCCTGGTAAAATAATTCTCTCTTCATGTCTATTTTTATACCTACAAATTGTAAAAACACATAATATTAGCTGTTTCATTTTGCCATTGTTTTATGAGTTAACCTTTTCAAAACCTAATTTAAATTGTTGTGTTTCAGAACTTATTTTCGGAAAAAGTAAAATAAAGATTGATACTTAAAACAGAGTATCTTTAATTAAATATATTTTATAATACATATATTTAAATATAATGTGATATTTTATCGATTAATAATAATATGGATTTATGATGGAATTTAATGAACACTTGACAGTTATATTTAACAAACTTATGAAGTATTAATTAATAAGAATTCTTTACAAATGTGTAGAATTAATTTTCATACTGTTTACCTACCATAGCTCACAAAGAAATGTATGGTCAGCAGAGTGTAAAACACTGTTGAAGACATTTTCATGTAGACTTAGAAAATCTTCGGTATCCAACGTTGTCAACCGCTGTCTACTTTCTATATTATATACTAAATATCTAAAGTGGTCACGTGGCTAAAATATGACCTCCAGATTGGACAATTTTATGACAGATTAAATAGGATCTGAGTATTATACAACAATGTACTAAAAATAAACTCGTTGTTTTGCAACAGTGGTACGTGTAATGTTTCAGAAGAGCTTGTAAGTGTCAACTTGTCTTTACATTCCCCGACAAGTTGAGTAAGTGTTTGTACACTGATATTTTGTGTCACAGAGCTGTTCATACAAGAAGCTGACTGTTAAGTTTTTCAAGATGTAGCACACAATGGTCGAGTGGAAACATTTACAGTGAAAGGATGCAGCTTGCCACATCTGAAGTGACTTGACTGTAATAGTGCTTGCTTTGTACAGAGAATAGACTGGTACGCGAAAGGAGATGTTATATTTTTAAAAATCGTTTGATGTACTAATATTACAATGGCTCTTAACAATAAAATCGCTGCTATTTAAAGCACATATTTTTCTCACTTTAGACTACTCAAAATTAGTTTTTTGTGTTACTGTAACTACATTATTTTTCATCACCAAAACAGATCTAAAAAAGATACTTTATATTAGGTTTAGTTAAAACAAGTAACGAAGTAATATTTAAATCACTCTTTATTAAACAAATACCGATATCTGACCCGCTATTTTACATTCTAGTGTCTTCATAAATATAAATATGCAATTTTTATTCCTTTTTTAATTTTACATTTTTTCGATTTTAATATTATTAAGTAAATAATCAGTATACGTTTCTATATATAAGCCCACGTTTATTCGTTTACATTTAGAATATTATTTAAAAATATAAGTCAATCAAACCTACAATGTTTATTATTTAAACTAAATATGTGATAGTAATGTATCTATATGACGGGAAAAGTTACAATAAATTGTTAACACAAAGATCTAAAGCTGCCTAGATCCGATTTACAGTAATAAGATTTTATTAAATAAATGTATGTAGTCATGGATCAATAATTGCAGATAAGCACATTATCATTATACATTCCGTTAATTATACTTCTTTCTTTCTTCGTTCTTCATTGTAACGATGGAAAATATTTCCTCTAACACAAAATTTAAGTAATTGTCAATGAAAGTGTCAAATTGTTTTACAGTATATGGGTTGTTGTCTTGAATTCCAGCCAGTTTCTTTCTGGATTTGCTTCCATAGCCTTTGTCCAACGAAGAAAAAACTACAAGCCAGTTGTTTGATTTTGTACCTGTTCTCCGCTAGATGGGTTGCTGTCCTCAAGGATCGAGATCATCTTGCAGGGTGTGGAACTCAGGACATTTAGGTTGAGCAACAAAGAGATTTCCCGACCCGACCACGCCAACCTCCGTTAATGGTACTGCATTAAGGATGCGTGAAATGTATTATCTCAGCCATCGGATTAACATATTCCAATAATTACAATGTAATTTCTAGAATATAGTTTACATGTTTTCATTAATAGAATATTGATCTATAAACATATTTTTAAACTATAACTACAATTTTAAAAAAAATACATGATTACGACTTCAAGAGTAATACTGTTTATTTTTCTTTATGAGTTAAATAAAACACAAACACTGATAAATCATTTACTACAAAAGTATAACTTAATTAGAGGTGACTGGCTTTGCCAAAGATACCTAGGTTGTTTTTTTTTAAAAAGACGAATAAGCTTTGACATTATTAGGCGACGGAACGAAATAGGCGGTTTTAAAAACATCACTCTATTGACAAATTTATATTCGCTGGAAATTAACTTGTTAACACTGTTAGAAAACAATATAAATATTATAAATAAGAACATGAGAATAATAACAGTAATAATCGATTAGACAAAAATATCATTAATTAACCATTATTTACGTCATATTTAAACAACATCTAAGGTTATAATACATTTGTAATATTTTATAGAATCATTGACACAAAGACTTGTGTTCAACATTTAATAATTTATTTGAGTAATTTACAGCATTATAACACTGTTAGAAAACAACATCTATAGGGATCGAAAAAAAATATTTTTAAAATAATGAATAAGAACTTAAGACAACGTCTATAATTAAGCGGTTTCACAAAAATATCATTAATTAACCATTATTTACGTCATATAAAATCACCATCGAAAGTTATATTAAATTTTTATAATCTTGAGAATCATTGACACAAAAATATTGTTCTATAGGTTTTTGCAAATTTCGGACTCAATCTGACATAAATGATAAAATTAACTGAGGCGTTGAGTCCATAAATTAAATTTACAAAAGTTTCTACAATTCTTAGGGCATCATAAGTAAAGAGCCGACCATAGCCAGCTTCAAGGGTGAAGGCATATGCATTCGTTGGAATCAACACTAGACAAATTGCAGATAAACAAATTGTCAGTGATATTTTAGCTGTTCGAACCTCCTTAGTTCGCTTGGAGTGTGACTCAAATGTTGACATTCTCTTCACATTTTTGCTTGACGCTTTAAGTTTTATAACGATAGAAAACGTACATATCATTATTAGCGCTGTTGGAAACAAAATGACCAATATTCCGAGTCCAGTGTTGTATAATGTAAACAAGTCATAATTGTATCGTATAAATTCACCGTAGTCGAGAACCGGAAACGTACTATTGATTTTATCGTAGAATATCCAAATAACAATATAAAAAAATGCCCGAGGAATATAAAACAATGCTGAAATTATATAAAAACTAACCACAATACACTTGATTCTAAATGTTGTAAGTAGTTTAGATGCAGCGAAAGGAAACACCACAGCTATCATTCTCTCTACGGCAATGACTGTAGCCATCTGTACACTGGTGCATATGGCATACTGGTTCCATCCTAGAACATACGCGGTGAAATGCGAGAAGATGTAGTAAAACACGGCGTCGTCAATCAAGCGAGCCAAGCTCTCCAGTGGAAAATGTAGCTGTGTAAGGGAGAAGAACAGATCCGACACAGCCAAAGCGGTTAAAATAATAGTGGCTGTTTCCCTTAGTCCATTGTAAACAAGGATTAAAATAGTGAGGCTGTTCCCCACAATTCCAATGAAACATAAAGCTGGAAGAATGATGCCGCTGAATATAAGATTGATATAAAACAAGTCTGTTTTAGAAATATCAAACATTGCGTCTGCTACAATACTATTGTTTTTGTATTTCATCTCTTGTTTATCTCTTGCTATGTAAATTAGATTAACTATTCAAGTAATTAGACGTGAAAACAAAAACTAATACATCTTCGTGATTGTTACACAATGCCACAAGACAATTATTTTTAAAGAAAAAATTCCTCGATACTCGACAAACACACACTAAAGAATTTTACTATGAATAACATATCAAGCTAATGGAGCGCTCTTGTTACTATTGCTCTCATTTCTATTTTAAATTTAAGAGTTTATAATGAACCTATTCATGTTTACTGCTTGTAACTTGTCTGAATATATTACCTAAAGAGCGTAACGTTAAAAGATGTATTATATTCCAAATAAGTCTTCGGTTTAGAAAATTAAAAAGGATGCAAACATCGATCCCGTAAACAGGGTTATCAGCTTCTTGTCTACTAATTTATAAAACCTAGATATAATTAGATAGCTGTAACTGATTGTGTATAATGGTTGCAAACGTAAAATTAAAAGGTTTGTAGCATAAAAATTATGTTTTTTAGTTGTGTAACAACGTCTCTTTTTATTTAACATAAATAATTGTTTGTTTGTAATCTATTTTGTAGGGCTGCTATATTGACTATGCAAAATTAGTCTTCTATCTTCGTCGGTTTTAATAATTTTATGTTATTATATGCATTATCATATATTTATATGACGTCGAACAAAGTAGATGTGATTATAAACTCAAAAAACAAATGTGTAAAATTTACATTGTCAATAAAATTATCCTAAAATATATATTACTATTACACAATACTGTTATGATGTTTTTTTTAAAATATAGAGCAATATACTGATGAGTAATTTTCTTAATTGATGTGCTACAGTCACTCTCGATGTGCTTTTGAGTGGGACGGCGAAGAATTGAAATATCTCGCGCGGTTCATTTTGCGGAAATGTGTACTATACTAAATGTTACGGCTGGTATAATATATGTGTATATGTATATATATATATATATATATATATATATATATATATATATATATATATATATAATATATAACTCAATGATTTTTTTATAAAACACAGTATAATAAATAACTGTTCATGTTTTGTCAAAAAAGTCACTTTTCAAAATGAATTCAGATAAAAAAGAGAAGCTGGTTCTTTGAGTTTTTGAACACAGATATTTTGTGTCACAGATCTGTTCATACAAGAAGCTGACCCATAAAACTCTGAGCGCATCTTTATCGTTGTCTGTTGTGGAGAACTTCATACTATTGTGGGGACTTAGTTGGTCTTTAGTGTTATCATAAAGGTTTTACATTTTTTGTGACGTTTTGCTTACCAAGCGCTCTTTAGATGATTTTTATAAACACAAGGCAGATTTTCTTTTAAATGTATCGTCATTTTCCATATTTTGCGGAGCTGTTAGACTGGCAATCGGAGTTTTAGTATTATATGTACACATGACTTTATTTGCACGATTAGATAATACTATTGTTGTTTGGGTTATTTTTCGTTGGTAATCAAGTTGACTCAATAAATTTTGTACTGTCTGTAAATTGTAAAAATGTAGATTTATATTTGTGTTGCTAAACATTTTACATTAACTGTAGATATTTTTAATGAGTTGAGCTATTTCCACCTGTGTTTATTTTAACTTTCTATCTGACGTACTCAAATTTAAAAAAAAAGTATTAATAGATATGTTTGTTATAAGCAAATAACTATTACCTTTCATTTGATTTTCGTCAAATAAAGTACATTTTTCAGTGAAATTAACAATTTACCTTATATATACTTTTTTCAAATTAAATCACACGCCACAAAAATACCAAACACATAAGCTTCTCAATGTATTTTTAATACTTTATTTATAATAAAAGGTTTACATAAATAAGAAAAATATATATATCATTTTAAAGAAACTAAGAATTATTAAATGTAGCCTATAGATCAATAGTTTTAAATAATAAAGTAAAAATGTGATAAAATGTCAAGAAAGCATACTTCGCATGCTTTTTAACGTTTTTTGTGTGGCTAAACTTCAATCAACCGTTATACTTATACACGTAAAATAAACAATCAATAGTTTAAATGTTGAATTATCTACATGCAAAGTGAATAAAATGTCACTTATTAATTTTTTACAGACAAATCACGTTAATCCTTTTGTACTTTAACAAAATCCCACGAGTCATACCTATTTCGAATGCTGTTATATAGCAAGAATTTTAGAAGCTATTGTGGAGAATGTATTTATTTTTCTCTGAATAACTCTTGATATTATAATGTGCGTAGTTTCATTTCAACTGATTTGACATAGCCGCCCCAAAAAAATCCCTGTATTGTCGTTTACATTCCAAACTCCGTTAAGATTTGTTTGATAACAATTGGTATACCACCATCCACCCATAAAAATCTGAGCGCAGTTACGACCGTCGGCATCGTTATCGTTGTCTATTGTGGAGAACTTCATACTGTTGTGGGGACTTAGTTGATCTTTTGTGTTACCTTGATATTTGGAAAACGTCATAAAATACTTTGAGGATTCGTCGTCAACTTTGAAATTGTTGTACACTGCATAATAATTTTTACTTTCTATAGTCAGATCAATTCTTAATTCAGTGTAACCCTGAAACATATGTATGGAAATTGTAGTTATATGTCAGTTTGTTTTAAATGTATAACTATGTTTAGTTGTTTGGACCCGATGCAAAATGTCATGTATATCTGTACTTAAAACTAATTTATATTATTCTATTTCTCACCATCATACTCTACGTACTATAAAACAATTATACACAATGTATAACAGGTGTTAAGTGCACTAAAATAATTTAAAGTATACATAACTCATATCAATAATATATACTAGTGAAAAAAAAATTCATCACTTAAATTATCTTTTCAAAACAAATTTGCGAACAACGTTAGATTTACTATTATTTCTAAACATAATTCTTTGTTTGTTTCTCATTTTTAGCGCATTTGTAATTTTAATAATAGATATTTGTATTATTATATGCTAGTGTGCATTGGTCATAATCACGACCTGACAATCTTTAAAATTCCGAAATTTTAAAGCTACTGTCAACTTTATAAAAACCAAAGGAAAAAGACAGATGAAACTCTATACTCTTGAGACACACTGATATAAAATAAATATTACTAGATTAAAAATATAATATTGCGTTGTCATTGAAAATAAATTGATTTAGAAAGATAAACAAAACAAAACCAACACAGCCTTACACCGACTTAGTAAAAATCCGGTGTGTGTGTGTGATGTAAATAAAAAGCTTGTAAAATTACAAACTATATTACTTTAACAATTTTACTAGTATTAACGTAAAGGGAATTAACTCACCACATGTGTAAGCCAGGAAATCCAGTCATTTCCAAGCCAAAAATCTCCTGCCGTTGATCCAAACCCATGTTTGTAGTCGTCCCATCCTCTGGTGAAGTTTACATCGCCCATAACACGACGCTTAAAATAATTTAAAACAAAATGTTTTTAATAACAAATGTTTACAAAAAATAAATAAAACAAAGTGATTTCCTCTAAACATTTTCAAATATTTTTCTATGACACTACGCGGGATAGTCACTCGGGATATAGAGAATAGTTTTAATCCATTATTATTATTAACTTAACCTTTTTGAAATAGAATAGAATCTCATAGAAAAAAAGAATTGCGCACCAAGTGAACGCAAAACAATCTGTTCATAATAGTGCGGAATATTATTAGTACTTTATAAATTCATATGCGTTTTTTGAGAAATCGGAAATGGCGTAAATTACTACTTCCGGTTAATAGGTAATTACTCAAAATTTGTCAGAAGGCAGAGAATTAGATATTATACTTACATGTGAAATTTCAGTTATCTATCTGAAAAAAGTACTCAAATTATAGGTTTAAAAAAAAATTGAAAGTAGAAAAGTTTTACTTCCGTTTATCGGAAATCGTTGAAAAGTTATACAGATCTACAAATTTGATCCAATACTTATATATGAAATTTCATCAACCTAGCTTTAACGGTACTAAAGTTATCGTGTTTACAGATACACACACACAAAACACACACATACATACTCACAAACACAGACATACAGAAAAGATTGCAACAATATGTTTTCCGACTCAGGGAGGTGTAAAACGTCGAGATTTGCAAAAATCAAGATTTTTTTTGCACGATTACAATACTTTCTCTATACTTTGTGTACGAGAAAGTAAAAATGGAATTCGATTATTCGTAATACATGTCGCAAAATGGTCAAGTAGTGATTCTTGTGAATACTTTAACTGCATTTTAGCTTCGTGTTATTTCACCTTTACGCCTGTAAATAATCTTTTTATTTGGTAAAAGTGGATGACATATTATTCGTTTCTAAAAAAAAAAAAATATTATGATAATTTTTTTTTGCATTATGTTAAATATCTACATTTTCAAAGTAATACCTGTATTAAAATCCAGGCGCCGCCGTCCGTTTTCGTGTCACATAATGTTAACTTTGATTGGTTGAGCTGAACAAGCTGTCTACTTGTTAAGTTGAAGTTATGTGTTCTTTTACACTACAATTAGAGGAATAGTACAGGTTATTTTACTAAAGTATAATAAACATATCTACAACAGTGCACTATTCTTTCATTTTTATATGTAAGACAAAACCGCCCAGACAACGATTACAGTTTGTAGACTTCAATTTGAATGGCTGGATACTTAGGCACTAAGAAAACGTGTCAAGTATAAAACAGTAATTGGCCGTCATATTAGTGTAATGGAAAAAAGACTGCAATCAAAAACATTAAACAGATGTATATAAATTATGCTATGTAATTATTCTACTATTGTATTCTAATTATCTAGAATAATATGGAGTGTAATATTCATTCAATAATTCATACACATAATATATGTTAACTAGCAATCGAGAGAAAACTTTAAATTGACATAATAAAAACGAAAACACTTACACAGAAGTAGTCTATTATATTGTTTTAAATTTTAAAACAACTATATATTTTATATTCGACATTAATCAATCAAAGCTTATGAACAAATAATACCATTTTCTTTGTCCAGATTAGCGAATTGGTGTTTTGTTCCTTTTCCGTATTTTCTTCATTCATGTTTAAACGTTTATCTTTTAAATGATTAAACCTCTCATTTACAAACTGTAACTGTGCTGTCAGGTTGTTTAATCTTGTTTCAAAAATATGTAGACTATTAGAAGATTCTATTGGTTTATGAGTGTCAGTAAAGTTTTTCCTTGGAAAACCGTTGTCATCGCTACTTGAATGTGACATCTGTAATGACATTGACATGTCAGCTCCCTTAAGTTTACTTGGATCTTCAAACGTTTTTAGGAAATCGGCCATAGTGTCCACAGTTTTAACATAGTTTACGGTTTTAGCCTTTAAACTCATCATTAAATCTGATTTCCGCGTGTTTTCTTTTCGGTATGGTGCAGTCTCTTCTTCTGCAAACCCAATCTCTCCTGTCTTATACGTGAAATATATTTCACATTTAAATGTCTTATCGTAGCAAGCGGAATCATTGGACAAAAACAACTGCAGTTTCCCAGCCATGGTGGGATATATTCCCGTCCACAAAAACCCCAGGCACTTTATAATCTCGAGCCTTTGAATCTGATCCTGAAACAGACGCCAACATTAGCTTGTCCCCTGGTTCGTTGATCACATAGACTGACATGTTGACCAGAGCTGATATCTGAGTGTTTTCTCTTATGTTTTCTGTACACTGGAGTTGTGCACAAAACAAATCCCTCCCCTGGTAAAATAATTCTCTCTTCATGTCTATTTTCATACCTACAAATTATAAAAAACACAAAACATTAACTGTTTCATTTTGCAATGGTTTCATAAGTTAACTTTTTCAAAACCTAATTCAAATTTTTGTGATGCAGAACTTATATTCGGAAAAAAGTAAAATAAAGAGTGATACTTAAAAAATAGTATCTTTAATTAAATATATTTCGTAATACATATATTTAAACAGAATATGATGTTTTATCGATTAATAAAAATATGGATGTAGGATGGAATTTAATGAACACTTGACAGTTATATTTAACAAATTTATGAAATATTAATTAATAAGAATTCTTGAAAAATGTGTAAAATTGATTTTCGAATAATAGACCTACCATAGCTCACAAAGAAATGTATGGTCAGCAGAGTGTACAACACTGTTGAAGACATTTTCATGTAGACTTAGAAAATCTTCTGTGCCCAACGTTGACAATCGCTGTCTACTTTCTATATTATATACTAAATATCTAAAGTGGTCACGTGGTTAAAATGTGACCTCCAGATTGGACAATTTTAAGTCAGATTAAATAGGATATGAGTATTATACAACAATGTACTAAAAATAAACTCGTTGTTTTGCAACAGTGGTACGTGTAATGTTTCAGAAGAGCTTGTAAGTGTCAACTTGTCTTTACATTCCCCGACAAGTAGAGTAAGTGTTTGTACACTGATATTTTGTGTCACAGAGCTGTTCATACAAGAAGCTGACTGTTAAGTTTTTCAAGATGTAGCACACAATTGTCGAGTGGAAACATTTACTGTGATAAGTGCAGCTGGCGACATCTGAAGTGACTTAATTGTGTAAGTAGCTTTGATTTTTATAAAGAACAGAATGGTACGCTAAGCGAGATGTTATTTTTTTTACTTGTGATGCACTCATGAGAACCCCTGATAATAATAAAGTTACAGTTATTTAATTCAAAGATTATCTTTCTCACTTTAAGCTGCTTAAATTATTTTCATGAGTTACTGAATTCCCTCCCCCCTTCACAAAAAAAACATAGAGTTAACAGATGTTTTCAGAGTCATTTTTAATAAGACAAGTAATGAAATAATCTTTAAATCTCCCTTCAAAACAATAATACCGGTAACTGCTCGGCTGTTTTATTGTCTTAGTGGCTTCACAAAGTTGAATATTCAATTTTTATTACTGTTTATTTTAAAAATTATCCTATTATTCACGTCGTTCAGGGCGGGGGGGAGGAGGGATGGTGAGGATAATCGTCATTCACGAGCTACTTATAGTGTTTTAAAGCAAAATATTTTCAGTTGCAGCATTGTTAGTGCTGAGATCACAAATTATGAATTACTGAAAATAGCGGCGTAAGCTTACGGCGAGAGTCAGCTCGTTAATTGTAAAGAGATTGTCCCAACTAAAAAAGTATTACATGAAAATATATTTTGCCGTTTATAAGCCTTTGACTCCAATTACATCCTGATTTTCATTCTTTACTTTCTCTCTTAGGTGTAGTGGCTCTCCCCAGTTATCGAGCCTCTTAAGCCTGAGGGTCGAACACGGGACTTTTCGGTTCAGCAACATAGATCTTTACTTACCCGACCACGCCAACCCCCGTAATAAACAATTCTACTGCTGCCATTGGATTAAAGTCTTCCAATAATTACAATATACTTTTCAGAATATAGTTTACATTTTTACACGATTTTATTTAGTTTGATTGTTGGGATTGGATTCTATAATGAATGTTACGTCTATTTGTGGGTTTGTTGCAAAACTTGCAACTCAATTTGGAGTTCATCCATATAAGAGATCATGTTTTTTACCTCCCCCACCCTCTCTTACGTCTCACATCTTCACAAAAAGCCAGACCCGACCCCCTTTAAATGACGTCACATGTCAGCCTACAACCCCCTCCTCAAAAACTGCGATTGATCTTCTCTTAAAACTTCGATATTTTTCCCAAACTTCGTCTTAGCTCTCTCAACAGAGTTTTTTAATCTAAACCCATTACAATTGATTAAGTTTTCTAAAACGCGAAATAACATCTAAAATTCGTTTTCCAACATTGATTTTTCATAAATCAAGAGTGCGACATCACACCATCTGAACACCCCCCCCCCCCCCTCATTAAACACCGTTACAAAAATACGGACCCCTCAGTCCCCTACGAGGGTGACGTCATTTATCGACGACCGCTTTGACCCACTTCTAATGCAGCGATTCCTTTCAATCTGCTCCGATACGTTCCACTTCGATGACAATACAAGTCTTTTTATTTTTTTAATTTTATTAGATATTTAATTATTATTATTATTGGCTAATAATTTAGGAACACTCGAAATAATAAGATTGCTAGAATTGGTGTAATTGTTACAAAAAATATCTGAAAGGATGCTTGCACCATAATTGTTTTTGTTAGTTATGTTATCACATCTTTGCTTTTTAACATCAATAATTAATGACTTGACTTATTCCTTTGTTGCACCAGGGGAGCTAAGGGTTATGGATATTAGGGCTATGTCTTTTTTTATAGAGCCACTTGTTTTTCTTAATCAAGGTTTTACAGCCAGCTACTCTACATGCGACACTAACTGAAACGGGGAAGGACTCGGACAATTCTGAGAAGTTCTTTTGTACAATTTCTATCTCTCCGCCGGTATAAAAGTATATATATATATATATATATATATATATATATATATATATATATATATATATATATATATATATATATATATATATATATATATATATATAATTAGACCGTCCCTGAGTCCATCCAACTCTGATAGGTACCTAACTCTCATTAGGGAAAGTAAAGGCAGCTGGGTATAGTGCTGACCACACTATCTCTTCATATGCCGAGGTCACAGAAACAAGTGAACTCTACTTCACTTGGCCATCGACCGTAAGGTTTGAAAATGGAACTACTCTCTCTCTCTCTCTATATATATATATATATATATATATATATATATATATATATCAGTAGCGTATGCAGGGGGGAGCAGGGGGAGCGGCCGCCCCCCTCTGGCCATTTTTAGCAAAGTGGCGTCTTTTTGGAAACTTTTTAAACTCAAAGTCTTAAACATTGATATTTGTTAAAAAATTATCTTTGGTCGGCACATCTATGCAAATCACAAGATTTATTTCATGCAGCAATTAATTATAACAGTAATAGACTAGTAGAGTCAACGTTTACAACACGTATTAGCAGCTGTATCAGTTTGTCATTCTAAAAATTATCATTACGATGCATTTCAATGTTTAAAAAAACTCTACGGGTAGTACCACTTGGCAAGAGGGTGTTAAGTTTAAGGCAACTGTATTATGTATTTGCTTACGAATAATTGAATTAGAAAATGTTACTTATAAAACTTTAAAATTAAGTACTTTATATATACAGTTTAAATCGCGTAATTTATTTTTAAAAATTACAATACAGACACAAATACAACTAATATGGCACATCTAATTAAATTTACTTATGGGCGAACTGCGTAGCGGTGGGGAAATTTTGACAAGGTGAACAACGTTATCACAATGAAGTAGTAGTTTTATGACAGTTTGATTACAATTACAAATTATATCAAACAGTATCAACTTTCTATTAATTATTATTTTAGTTTACTAGATCTAGATCTATATTATATTTGAATAATGCTATATCTTGTATTAAAAAAACGGACCTTTGACCACAGGTGCTTTGACCATAGGGGGTTTGACCAAAAGGGGTTTTGACCACAGCGGGGCTTTGACAATAGCGGTGCTTTGACAATAGGGGATTTTACCACAGGTGTTTTCTCAGCAGAGGGTCTTTGATCACAGGCGGTTTGATCACAAGCGCTGTGTCCCGCTTTATTCACAGGTGTTTTGTCCATATAGGGTCTATGATCACAGGTGGTTTGTCCAATGCTGTTCACATATGGTAAGGATTTATATTAAAAGTTGCTAAATTATATTTTAAATTGCGACATGCTGTAAATAATATGTTAAATCATCATGTATAAATTCGTACACCGTCAAACGCGTGATCCATCCTGGCGTTCTCTGTGAAACCAAAATTCATGACCACGAGACAACAAAGTTCTTTTACCTTTTTTTGACGTGCTATACTCTCCAAGATTCTCCATGGTTTTGACATAGCTTGGTTTAGAAGACAAGGTGTCGCGGTAGCAAGCTAACCAGCTGAGAAGCGATACAAGATGCTGGTGCTGTAATTAGGCTGAGCAACCGTATAAATGAACGCGAAAATTTTGTTCTAAACCAATTCGACTTAGGACTTCAAACCAAGCATCTCCGCGACTTATCCTGCCTGAGACCTCCGTTGACTCCTGAGACTAACCCACCCCAGCTTTACCAACCATCACACCTACCTAACCCTCCACGGACCACATCTTTTGTGCGTGTTTATTCTATTAAAGGTAAGGTTAATATTACTTTTTGTTTTATGGGAGCTAACCCCATTAAAATACCCTTTAAGCAAATCTTATTAAAATAAGTAGTCACATGTATTTACTTTACTTTTGTATCGTACACCTACGTAAGGTTAATAGTACGTATTGTTTTAAGGGAGCTAACCTCATTAAAATATCCTTTAAATAAATATGTATCTAAATAAGTCGTCAACTGTATTCCTTTTTAGTGTACAACCGACCCTACGAGACAGACTAGCCATCCATTGACCCTATTGAGCTACCTACCCATCCCCCGAGGCATCCACTGAACCAAACGTTCCATCCACATCCAACTACACCACTTCGGATCCGGCTTAGACGTTCAAACACTGAGGTACGTTTCATTTTCAATCTAGTTTTAAGTATGTTATTTTATTTTATGTATTTTATTTTATGTAATTATTTTTATTCTACAGCCAACGACCTACCCAAGCATCCATCTGATTAAACCAATAGACACTTCGTCAATAATGCAATCATCCCAAACAACCAGCCACCCAGCCAAGACCCGCTTCACATGCGAGATCTGCGACCGAGTATTCACCCGTAATCAACTTTTCACACGCCATCAAGAGACAGGACACGGACGACAAAGACATCCCTGTACAACTTGCGGGAAAGTATTTACACGACTTGACAATTTGACAAGACACTTTACGAAAGCACACAGCAACCAAACCTTACCGACCGACACTCCATAAGCAACCGACAAACTCCACAACCACTATACGTGACCGATAGACAAACACACCAACCCACATCAGCAACCAACAGACAAACCGGTCAACCCCCATCAGCGAGCCAAACAGCTCGTACCGCTAACAACACTATCCCCTTAAAACGACAAAGGACGTATGACGACATAGCAAACAACAAACGCGTAAAGACTAACAACGACAGTAACCTTAATTCACACACCACTATTTTTCCTGTAGACAACCTTAGGGGAGATGCGGTAGACTTTCACACGACCACCGACAAACCTTCACCGACATGCCTTCTC